TATTATAAAAGAATAATATGGTTTAAAAATACAGTACAAAATTATATAACAAACTGAATAAACTTAAATATATTTAAATATTCAGATAATTATTCACTCTGTTTTCTGAGTGGTTGCTAGGGCTCAGGTTCCTCCTTCAATGTAACGTATGCGTTCTTTTCACCATTTTATCATCCTCCAGTCAAAAACAATGACTGAGTCAAGTAACAGAGGAATCATTCATGTCAAACGGTGCGGCTCGAATTATGTGCCAGAGTTTAATAATCACGGTCAGGGTTTTGTTTTAAATCTCTAACCCTCGGGAAGAGCAACAGCGATACTCTCCTTAGCAAACACCGATAATTACTGTATGTATTTAATCCATTTTATACTTTCCTGCAGTTGGAGCATAAACTCGGTACAGAGCAAATAATTCACTCAATCCGCCCCTCAATACTCACGCCGTCGGAGCATGAACACGGACAGACGGCTCTGGAATTTCAAACAGGTTATTAAACAGCTCTGGCTTTTGTTTTTTGAGCCGGTTTAAAAAACCTAATTCAGATGACTGCTTCTGGAATATATATTGGCTAGTCGCATCTCTGCGGAGAAACAAAAGGTGTATAATAACAGAACAATTAAATTAACCAGGGACGTAATTAAGGTGTTTGTTTGGCTGAGAGCGGTTTTATATTTAATAGAATCGCTGGAGAAGCTGCTGGAGTGATGATATTGCTCGTCACATTTATTCACATCTCCGCGGCAGCTGTCAATCACGCCGCATCCGGCGGAATAAATGAATGTGGCGCTGGCATTAGCATATGCTGAGCGGTCTCCAGAGAGAAGAGACAATCAGAGAGCAGAGACGCCTGCTGTGACTAGCGCTCTCTCCCACCTGTTGGTCTTCCAGATGTGTATGGTTTCCTCGTCTACGTTCTCGTGTCTGAGGGCTTGCTCATCCAGGAAGTCGAAAAAGTATTTAACTGCTGGCGGGACGGCGGCGCCAGAACAGAGCACACTGCGAAAGAAATCATCCACGAACTGCTGCAGCGTTCCCTGAAAACACACACAGACACAAAAACAAGGTAATTAGAGTTTTGAGATGCGTTTTGTTTTAAAAGTGCTGTAAGTGGGTTTTTTTTTTTCCAAGCATAAAATGTTTCTTCTAACTCACTAAAATTCTTACAAAAAATAATGAAAATGTACAAAAATCATGTAAAAAATATCAAATAATAAATTATATATCAAATAAAAATAGAATTTATAATAATATATATAATTTGTTTTTATTGAAATGTTTAAAAATATATATATTTTATGTTATACTGAGTTAAATATATAACAAAAATGTGTTTTTATAAATGTTAAGGCACTTCAAATAAGTTATTAGAGGTTCAGGTGACAGAAACGCTTAAAAACCCTTGATGCAAGTTATACAACCTGAGCCCTGAAACATAACAGATCTAAAAAAAAAAAAAAACACACAGAAAAACATCTAATTTCTTCACACGTCAGCCTGCTGGGTCACTGACAGTCACACATGGCTGTTTTCAGGCTTTGATCGGCCTGACGGGTGAAGTTACACGCTCACTTGAACGCTTCTCATCTCCACTACGCTTTGTTTCTGTCGGCACTGACAGCTTTACATGCCGCTGAATTACTTCTGTACGAGGTGAAAGACTTGCGAGGTAATTAGCCTCTCTAATCGCCCAATTTACGCCGAACGGCCTCTGACACAAGGACATGCGACGAACCAATCAAACAGAATTAGATTTACACGTCGTGACTTAAGAGAACGTGCCAGCACTCAGAATACTTCCTGGAGGTTTATGGAGGTTATAATAATTATATGACACACGTCCCACATTAAATACTGCTGAAGAATTGGATTGTTCATTACCAACATTAAATCACCAATGATTATGCACCGTTGTCATCTTCCAACAAAATGTACATAGCAAAAATCATTTCTATTAATTTCTTAATCAGTTATTGTTTTTTTTTTTATTGAAATTATGTATAATACAAGATACTGTAAATGTACATCTTTTTAGATAATATAGTCTGAATCAAATGAATTTTTCATACTTTTTACAAATTTGTAAGCAAAAATCTAACAATTTATTTAGACGCATGCTTTGTTCAAATTCAAGATATATTTTATGAAGAGAAGTCTTCATTTCTCACGCAATATAGCGGACTGTGAATGGCAAGTTAAAAAAAGATCGATACATTAATTCAAAAATAAAAATATAATTAAATTGATTGAAAATGTCAAATAAGTAAAGTTTAAAAAAATATAATATATTTTTTAAATGTCTATTAGTTATCAATTTGAAATGTATTTCATTTTAATTAATAAATTGCATATTTATTAATTTCAATCATATTTATGTATTCATATTTATTTCTTCATTTTATTTTTAAGTGGCACTCTCAATCTTCTATCAATGCAATGTTGCTTCTGACATAAATGTTCTAAACATTTTATTAATCGTTTTAAAATAATTACAAATATTTTAATAATTTAATATAATGTAATATCTTTATCTCTAAAATGTATTTTCTATTGATGTAAACAAGACCACAAAAGACCCAATGATATAAAAAAAAATTAAAAAAAAGAAAGAAAAATGAACACAATCCAATCAAATCTGGATAAAATCCAGTGTTATTTTAGCATCATTGATATACTAATATATTTTGAATTACATTTTATTTTTTATTTTTATTTTACATTTTTTTGTAATTTCGTTGTGCATTTCTCTCATGTTTTTGATTTGTAATATGTCTATATAGTTATCATAAATTTTTTGAATAGGTTTTAGTTTATTTAAAGTTATTTTAGTACTTTAAATGAAAATGAAAAATGATGCCTTGATAACTAGCTGAAATAAAAAAATATAAATATATTAGTGCTGTCAAACGATTAATCGCATTCAAAATAAAAGTTTTTGTTTACATAATATATGTGTGTGTACTGTGTATATTTATTATGTATATATAAATACAAACACATGCATGTATATATTTAAGAAAAATATGTTATGTTTATATATTAAATATATTTATAAATAATATAAATTATAGGAATATACATATATGTATGTAAATACATGTAAATATTTTCAATATATATACTGTATATGTGTGTATTTATATATACATAATAAATTTACACAACACGCACACATATATTATGTAAACAAAAACGTTTATTTTGGATGCGATTAATTGCGATTAATCGTTTGACAGCACTAAAATAAATAAATAAATAATATTTATTTATTTGATTTGATTTCAGTTAACATTTATTTTGTTTCAGGTAGCATTTTTTCTTTAAGGTTTTAGTTTTAATTAACAACAACAACCCTGATAAAACCAAGTCCCACCCTACATGATTAATTACATTTATTAATTAAATACAAATTATGTAAGTGAAATGTAACTTTTTCTAAAGGCGAATGAACAGACAGCAGTTGAGTTAGAGAGAGGAAGAGCTCAGTACCTTGACGGAGAGCAGTCGGGTGAGATAGATCTCAGTGATGGCTTTGGTCATGGATTTGTCCTTTATACTGCCTCTCTTAGATTTCATCTCATCCAGCTCATCGGCCGGTCGCACCAGGTGAAAAACTTTATCATCCTCCAGCAGGGCGTTTCCTGTGAGTTCAGGTGAAGAGAGTGTATAAGTGACAGTGACAGATCACACTTAGAAAGCAGACTTGCACTCACTCTCTTCATGGTTATCGTGATTTTGCTCGTACGACTGTTGTGTGTGCTGAACTCTGGAAAGGACCACCGTTGCATTATCACGTACCTAAAACCACACAAAAGTCATGTTTAAGAACAAGAAATGACACTCGTCACGTCATGTCAAAAATCCCCAACCCATGCGCTCACGTTATAATGCGCCAGCGTATTGATGCGTCTCCACCTGCCCTCCTTCTGTGACGTCACGTCTAGATCTGACAGGATCTGTCCCGTGGAGCCGGGCCGCCATTCTGTGGAAGAGACCAGAAGACGTGAAGATGAAGAAGAGGTGTGGCGCTGTATGTGAAATCATAACGCTCGCTCACCGAGGGTGACGCCGTCTACTTTGGGTCTCTGAGAGTGCGGCAGGTTTTTGGACACCTGCTCGATGATCTTCTCCTTCACCTGAGAGATGGTGTCACAGTTCAGCACCTTCACGGGGGTGATGTCCGGCCCCTCGCCCTGAACCAGCACCTGCAGCGTCTGCCGGCACACAGAAAATACTGCTCGTTTATGAGCTGACAAAACCTGCTCTGGTAAAACAACGTGAACATAAAGTGGCTGTATGTTTTTATATCTGAAGTAATCTGTGAAAAAAAAAGTTAAAATATAATATATTAAAATAAAGCAATTAAGCCCCAAGAAGCCGTGGTTTACAGTGAATTTATAACAGCTAAGGGGCGTTGTTAGGCACGACGCGAAGCAGTTATAAATTCACTGTAAACCACGGCTTC